GGGAGCTGAAGGCAGGTCTGACTCCCAAGCCCTCATTCTTCCAACTACAGGTTACTCCCATAGTCTCAGCTACATCAGTCTATTCCAGGCTGAGAAAAGCTATTATTTTCTAGTTCATGGTTACTCAAGAATTTATAAAACAACACGCAAAATTAGCAAAATTGAGGTGCCATATAATACCTAAGACACATACACACACGTGTATACACATTACTGGTAATCTATTATAACCAAAATGCCCCATCCCTTTATTGCTGATAGACGCAGCAATCAGAGATTAAGGAATAAAATTTACTATCCTCCACCTAGTTAACCTGTATTCTGATGAGATTTTAAAAGCAACCAAAGTCTGCAACAATCCAGTCTGTACTGGGAGAGATATGACTGGGGCTTGCTTTGAGAACAAAAGAAAATCATTCCTTGAATGACTTAACAAAAAAACCCACCTGCATAAGTTACTGTCATTATTTAGTATAAAATTATAAATGTTATAGGATTTACCTTATTTCCTTGTAGAAATATTTCAATCAGGGATAAAATTTCTGTAATTTATGATTAAAAGGTTTTTTTCTTCAATACAATAGTGCAAGCAGAGTGCTTGGCATACAGAAAGTGCTCAATACACAGCTGTCTAATGAAAAGATAAATTTGAAAGTTCTAGGACACTGCTATAATGCTCTTTATCCAGCTAAAATCTAAGATCATTTCCAGGTGCTCACTTACTAGTATATCAGAAGATTTGCCTTCAACCTTCAAATGGGTGGAAGCAGTGGGTAGGAAGCAGAAAAAAACAAAACTATGCTGGCCAGTAGTGCCTATGTCATCCTTGCCTTCATCTACCCCCAAACTTAATCAGCTAAACTACACAGCTGAAAGACAGTCCCATTCTGTTCTACAACAGACAACTGAGCTTCAAAAATACACAACACAAATATTACCATAACAAGAAATCAGGAATTTGTTAATTTTAAAATCACTGCAAATTTCATACCTGATGTGGATAGGCATCGCCTGAACCCATCTGTCTTTTATTCTGGTCAAAGATGATCCACAGTTGGCTGTCAAATTCTGATTCATATAATAATTCACAAAGTAGTGGGCAGCTTGGAGTTACTTCCCCACTTTTGGGCTATAAAAATAAAGAATTATTACTTGACATGGTTCACATGATTTCTAATGAAGATCTGTAATGCTGATACTGATGAGACTTTTACAACAAAAGTATTAACATTTTTTCTTGTGATAGCCAATTTTTTAAATGTAGGACATCCGGTATTTTGGCACTAATAACAGGTGCTTCTCTTTTAAAAATACAAACCTAGCCACTTGTATTAATAAATTAACATATATTTTCTTTATAAAACTGAAATTTTATATTCACTGAAATCAATCTCCCAATTCAAATATTATGTTTCAATAAGAGTTTTACTGAAATCTATGGATCCTACATAAACTCTTTTATCCAACATTTATACAGGCCTCAAATACCCTTACCACTCATTCAACCTAGGAATTATTCTAATGTCTCACTGCTCCAAAGCCTGCTTCACAGAAAGCAAACAGGCCACCTACTACCATACTCTGAAGGCATCTGGAATTGATGAGACACCTAACCACTGGACAGGTAATACTGTCCAGGTACCACTGAATAGATTCAGTGGTTACAAAAACTAAGGCTCAAAGGCCAGGTCACCACAAACTAGAATTTGTGACTTCAGACTTGAATGGTACTTAGATTATTACAAATCATAATTTCCCTAAGAATATTTCCAAATTAAGCACTGTTAATTACTTGATTCTATTTCATATTTACATAGACTAAATTTATCATCCTCCCGTTTTAAATTCTGATTCATTAACAAAACACAAAAGTGGACTGTAAAAGTCTATTATAAAGATACTTACTTGATGAAAGTTATAGGTAAGGATCATTTCATAAAGTTGACGATTATTTGGCAAAACATCTCTTGATCCTAAAGGTTTTGTTTTTGCACTCAGTGGGCTGTAATTAGACAATGAATAATTATTTGATTCAAGAATTCATTTAATGAGACAAAACTATAATCAACAAAATCAATAACATATCACAAGATACAAATACACATTCCTAAATACTACCCTTTTCAGTATACTTTATAGTATTTTAATCAATAACTTACCTAATTCTTTATTGACTGAACCATAGCAATACATATTATAAGTTTTGCAACATTATAAAGATAATCTTTTCACAATAAAAACATTTTCAAATGACAACTAATAGTCCTTAGTATAATCAGATCCCAATGTTAGATGCTAGAGTGGCAATCACTAACAGTGTTGAAGAACAGGTTTTGACTGCAGGTGGCGCTCACTCCTCACAGGATAGGTCCTGCTGGGTGCACTGAAAATTTTATATACATGCTATACAATGCTAGAAGCTACTGCTGGGGTTGCCTCAGAGACCTTCCAGGATTGAGGCTAGAGTGTCATAAACTGAATTTTCATTTCCAACATTCAGATGGATTTAAGAAAATTACTATCTCTTCAAAGAGTGTAAGATCCTCCTGCCCCCCCCCCACACATTAATATTCAACATCCTTAGCCCTAAAACATTTAATGATACCGTAGTGTTTGGACCCAGCTCTTCAAAGTTATGCAGGGAGCCAGATCTTCATATTTCAAGGAGGACTGAACATCAAAACGGTTGATTCCTTCTGATGCATGCTATGAAGGACATTTATCAAATTAGTTTCTCAAACTTCACTGAAAATAAACTCTATTTTATAACAATATTAAGACCTAAAATAAATGTCTAATGCAAAGTTGGTAAGCACCCATAAACAGGACTACTTTTAAATTACCTGTGTTTATTTTAAGAACTACTGGTAATGTTCCCAATGAAGTATAAATTCAACCAGTGAGATTATTTTTCAAAAACACAAACAGCTGACTTTAAAAATAATGAAAATGTGGAACTCACAATGTTTAACTGAGGAGCGGTACACACTATCCCATGGAAAGAAATGGTGTAATCAATATTGACATCACTAAGACTAGCCCACCAACGGGCAATGCAGAATTCAATTGCTTTCCCACTCTGCAAAGAAAAATAATTACAAATGTATAAATAATCTCAGATAATGTCAGAACTACATATGCTCAATGTTCTCATTTTATTTCAAATTATAGAATATAAATGGTAGATGTTTCAAAGCATTCTATGCCTTCAAACTTTTCCTACTTGTAAAGCAAGAGAACACAATTACTTTTAACTGTGCTTGGAGTTATGGAAATTACAGTTGCAGGGATATAGTGCAGGCATTTAAATACATGCAGTTATTTACTCATAATCCTACACTGCTTGTCATAAAAGATCTGAGGCAGCTTTTGAAAACATATACAATAAAATAATGGTGAAAACAAACTGGTATAAAAACCTAGGACCAAAGGAAAAACAATGATAGGAGAAAGGGTATTACAGCTTTATAGGGCATATTCAATAGCCACAGATGAATTTCAGGCTCCCAGCTGCCTGGCAACCAAAACGAAATTGTGATTACTTACATTCCCCCCCCCTATTAAAATAATGAAAAACAAAAACTTCCCAGTGCTCAGTTTTAAATTACGTTTTCTAAGAAATCAGTACATTAAAAAGTTTAAAGATGAATCATGACACTGATACATACATGAACACAAGTGAAAGTAATCAGAAAAGTAAGATATAGGCAAGACCATATGACCAACTACGGAGCAGGTTCAAGACAGAACGTCAGTACATTCACCTTCAATGGAGGAAGGTCTAGTCCAGTGATGGCGAACCTTTTGAGCTCGGCATGTCAGCATTTTGAAAAACCCTAACTTAACTCTGGTGCCGTGTCACATATAGAAATAATTTGATATTTGCAACCATAGTAAAACAAAGACTTATATTTTTGATATTTATTTTATAAACTTAAATGCCATTTAACAAAGAAAAATCAACCAAAAAAATGAGTTCGTATGTCACCTGACACGCGTGTCATAGGTTCGCCATCACTGGTCTAGACATTATTTCTAACACTATGGGTAAGAATGAAGACCTGCCATATTTGAAGTAGTTTCTGTAAGAAGCAGTAGCAGTTTCACCTAGAAAGCAAATTAAGCTCATGGATAGTAATAAAATAACTTAAGTGATGCATAGAACTGTCTTAAATAAGGAAATAATCTACAGTGGGATAAAGACACACTATCAGTCAGGGTCCCAAAGCAAGGCAAGAGTATCTGTCAGACCAGCACTTTCTTTGACTAAATTATTAAAGAGTTAAAAAGAGATTAATTAATATTTACCTCAGACTCTATCTCAAGTATCCAAATTAGATTACTTATCTTCCTACTTCATTTATTTGGCATTAACAAAATAAAGAGCCCCAAAAAACTCTGAATATAAACTATAAAATCAAATTCAAATTCAAATACTTATCCACACCAAAAGGGAAGAGAAATTGTTTCAGGATTTCGAACTATTAATTAAAACTTACTAAGACAGGAAAAGCTTCAGTCAGTGTTCCTTTTTCTGGAAGGGAACAAAACTTATAGAATTCATGGCTTCTATATGCTCTTTGCTTCACAAGTTGTACTGCATGAAGAACAAACTTGGCCAACACCTCAGAAGAACAAGAACACACTGTAACTTCTAAAATAAAAAAGAAGCAAAATTTTATACTGGTAAGATTCAAAATGGACATAAAATTATTTTAAGAATGCCCACTTATTAGGAAATAATATATCAATAATCAAATTATATATTCAAATGAAATTTGCATATTTTCTTAAAAACAAAGACTCAATAGAGTATTAATAAAGCTGAAAGGGCAGAAGATTCAGCTACGGAAAATAAATAAATCAGGATTAAAATAAACAACCACTATGCTGCAAATACCAGGAAACAGCAAGCTTTCCATAGGTGGACACACAATTATCCTAATCAGGCACCTTTTAAAATCCCTCTCCCCTCTGGTAAGCTTTCCTCTTCTTTTAGTAGAAAGCCAAGTAATTCCTGATAGAGCATTTTAATTTTAGAAACCTCTATTTTGTCATCATGCTTAAATTCCATTAGTATCTATTCAACTTCATTAATATTTTTTCCTAGTCTCTCCCTCTTGGCTTATTTGTATTCTGTTTGCTTCTAGAAGGGATAATGTCAGAACTACATATGCTCAGCTTTATTCCGAGGCAGAGGTGGAGGTAAGCCCAAATCACTGTGAAGCAGGATCAGCAGCTTATCTACTGAATATCCACTCCAATACAGGAAACTAAGCAGGGCTTAATTCTCTGGTTCACAAGGTCAAGTTGGCACAGAGCTCTGTGAACCTAATCAATTGCTAATAATACAAAACCTGATGTTATTAACAGTAAGTTTTATTTGAAATAGAAATCATCTGTAGTACTTTTTTTTTCTTTTTGACACACCCTAGCCCAGTGGCCGGCAAATTGTGGCTCGCGAGCCACATGCGGCTCTTTGGCCCCTTGAGTGTGGCTCTTCCACAAAATACCGGCTTCTGCGCATGGGCCACGAAGTTTCAATCACACTGTACGTGCGCACCCGCACGTGGTATTTTGTGGAAGTGCCACACTCAAGGGGCCAAACAGCCACATGTGGCTCGCAAGCTGCAGTTTGCCGACCACTGCCCTAGCCCTAGCCCCATCCCTGCCTGAGATCAAATTGACAAATAACATTAAGTTTAAGGCATGCAACCTGAGGATTTGATGTACTTAGACACTATGAAATGTTTACCACAATAAGGTTAGTTAACACACAATACAGTTACCAATTTTCTCGATAGTAAGAACATTTAAAATCTACTCTCTTAGCAAATTTCAAGTATACGATTCAGTATTGTTAACTACAGTCACCATTAAATCTCTTGAATTTATTCATAGCTGAAAGTTTGTACGCTTCAGGCAACATCTCCCCATTTCCTCCACCCTCTGTAGTACATTTCTAATCTGAGACTGTTAAATGCTCTGATCTCTTTCCATTCTGAATCATCTGATAACTTTTTATTTAAAAAAAAACACACAACTAATTATTTTCAACACCAACCTAAACAAGTCACAATTAGGGCATTATAATTACTAACATCTACCATCAAAAAGATTTCAGAATCAGTATTAACTGTAGATTTTTATTCTTTAACATGATTAGTGTACATTTCATCAGAGCCTAACGTTATATATCTGCAAGGGGCTCTGTGTACACGCATGACAGCCAGAGTCGTTCAACAATGCAACTCTAACTCCAATCACTAACAGGAAAGGCATTATGCTAAACTAAGTTAAAATCTTGAAGATTAAAACATTAAGATGGCCTAGATGACCTGATGTATGAGCCAATGATAAATATTAACAGATCTTTAAAAAGTTTAAAATCTACTACTAAATCTAGAGTGCCAGATATACACTGAGTGGCCAGATTATTATGACCAGCCAGATTATGATGACCACCCCATCAGTACTTCGTTGGGCCACCTTTTGCCTTCAATACTGTGGCGATTCTTCTTGGCATTGACTCCACCAGATGTTGAAAGGTGATACGAGGAACCTGACACCAGGCCTGATGAATAGCACTGCCCAGTTCTGTGAGATTTGATGGTTGTGGAACCAGCTGCCTGATGGCTCTTTTAACTTCGTCCGCCAAATGCTCAATTGGATTGAGATCTGGTGATTGTGGGGGCCACCTAAGCCAGGTAAAGTCTCCCTCATGTTCTTGAAACCACTCCTGCACAATACAAGCACCGTGGCATGGCGCATTGTCTTGTTGGAAGAAGCCATCTCCTTTGGGATACGCCATCAACATGATAAGATGAACTTGGTCAGCAACGATACTGATACTTAGGTATGTTGTGCTATTCAGATGTTTATAATGATCTGGCCCTCTTAGTAATTTCAGCGGGAAATTATAGCTAATTTGCCTACAAACGTCAGGTGGTCATAATAATCTGACCACTCAGTGTATATTGTTATGAGGAAAATATGCATTACAAATACATGAACTTTATATAGTCATAATCATAAAAGAGATAGAATGTACAAAAAGTGCTCAAGACAGACTTTAGTTTTACTTACCAGCCCATGTTGCACCCTCAGGAACCTCAATAAAATGCCTTCGAATTTGACCAGGTTTAAAATGTACATCTGTAAAGGCTAGATCATAGTGTGAGGATTCATTTACTCTGAAAATTAATATAAATTATTGATTAAATGTGATGCTCTCATAAAAAAGGCTTTATATTAATTGTAAGCCCACTAGTACTCTAGATTTTAATAGTTCATTAGAAATTAATACTTAAAGGCTGGTTACAAAACAGTGTGCATAATACAATCTCATTTTTGCAACATATTAGCAAAACTCTGGCTAGTCCAGTATAAATGATTTTTCTACTTTTTACCTGTCTGCTTTATAATCTATAAGATACACACACACACACACACACACACACACACACACACACACACACTAAGCAAGTTCACTTTTTACACGAAAGAAATTGTGCTTCATTCACAGAATTTTTCCAATTATCAGAATTTGGGCTATAGAGAGCTCTAAATATTACAACCAAAGGTAATTTTTCATGTCATTAGTACCGATTGTAGCTCTAAGACTACTATTAAATAAACCCCCTTTTGTAGTTTCAAAATGTTTGCAAAGCATAATGACACAGTAAAGAAAAAATCTACTTTCATAACATTTTTGTAAGAAGTCAATGAAGCATAAAGGTCTAATGTATATTACCCACTATGAAAACCTAAAGTACACACTAAGGACAAATTCTAGTCAGTGTGACAAAAATTTAATGAGAGCCTACTATATATAAGGCACTGTTATTAGGAGTCCTTTGCCACAAACAATCTAGAGGGGACAGAAAAACCACCTGAGACATTTAATGCAACACGTTCTTGGTAGACAGGAAGTGTCAGAAGAGATTTGGTCCATGCAAAGGAACCAGGGAAAGCTTCCTGAAGGAGAGAATGTCTCAGCTGATGCCTGAATCGTATTCATTACTTTATCTAGGCTCCCGCTGGACTAGAAAACATTAGGTTGAGAACTTAGCTGTCCTGGAATTTTTCATGTGTACGTCACTTTTTACCTCCTCAATTCCATGCTATGTCTCCTATAGGCTGAGACTATTACACATTTAATATTTACCAGGTAACTAATACTATATAAAAACTGTTAACTTAGAACTTTCTACTGTTTCCAATACTCACATAATCTCAATCCTGTCCTTATTCTACTCAACAATTTGTTTTATATAAATACTGTAAAATGGGCTCCAAATTGAACATGTAAGATACAGTTCCTGTGTTTTTTTCAGTGGGCTCACAGTCAAATGGGTGGGTAAGTGGGTAAATTAAATAAAAAAATGACAATATATTCGCTGAAGTCTGTGTTACAGGCATGTAAAAAGCATTAGGAAGCAGCAAGAAGGGCCTCCCTTCCCCTGGGGATGACCAGGAACACGCTTGGTGGTTGAGACAGGAAACCGAAGCACAGAAATCAACCCAGTCCTGAGGAAGCCCGGAGTGTCAGCATCTGTGACCTCATGGAATATGGTGAATGTAAAAATGACAGGAAATACTGGTTTATAAAGGACCCTTGTTTGCTACTTTAAGGAGCACAACTTGGTCCTTGAACATGCCACTGATATATTTAAATGGGAAGCAATATGATCAGCCTTCAATTCCTTGGCTCCAGGTGGAAGACAAGATGAAAAGCGAAGAGTCTGGAAACAGCAGGTGACTAGAAAAGTGGAAGAACCAGGAGAAAACAGTAATCCCAGAGAAAAGGCAATTAAAATGGAGTGGGACCAAAAGAGGATGAAGTCATATATTAATATTGCAGAGGGATTGGGCAAGATGAAGACTAAGAGGTCCTCTGAATCGGGCATCCTGGTGGAAGGCAGTTTCAATGCAGGGACACAGAACAGATGTCATCACTTATTCTCACAGTGAACAAGGAATAACATGATTGACTATGTGCCACTTGAACTTTGAGCAAGGAGCAGAACTAAAGCCTGGTTATCTAGTTCTTGCCTATTAACCCTTTAGAAGTTCACACTGTTGTCATAAGTAACCATTAAAAAAAATTTGTTGCCCCTGAACAACATGGGGATTAAGGGTGTTGACCCTGTAAGCAGCCAAAAATCCATGTATAATTTTTGATTCCCCCAAAACTTAGTTGTCCCTTAGTAGCCACAGGGGATTGGTTCCAGGACAACCTATGGGTACCAAAATCTGCAGATGCTTAAGCTGCTGTATAAAATGATGTAGATTAGAGCAGAGTCAGCCTTCCACACCTGTGGACTCCCAACTACGAATCAAAAACAGTGTAAGTACAGGCATTTATTGAAAAAATTCACAAGTAAGTGAACGCACACAGTTAAAACCTGTGTTGTTCAAGGGTCAGTTGTTACTGTACGAGTAACGTGTTACTTACTTTGATGCTATAACTGCGGTGACTGGAACTCTGAACAGAGGACCTGCATTAGGGGATGCTATATCATAGCCACATACCTAAAAAACAGCATGTTAACGTTTCGATATCTATAAATTAAATTAAACAAAGAAAAAAGGAAAAAGTGTAATCTATTCATAGAATAAATTAATCTAATATAAAAATTTAAAGGTCTTAAGCACAAGTTGATTAATTTTCTGCTGCCAGGTCACATGATTAATGGCAAATAGCCTAAATAAATACATGCAGGACAACCCTTGTCTAATTCACACTAATGGGGAAAAGGACTGCCACATAAAGTACTTTTAAACATTTTAAAAGTAAAGAAAGTTTAAAATAAATGAAGTTACACCAATACCTCTGTATAATGTAATCCTTCTCTTAAGCCCCGGGGATCCACACGTATGTTTATATGTCTACATTGATTCATGAGTTCCAAGTGGCTAGGACACTGAACCCAAGATGAGTTTGAAGTTAAAGCTAAATGAAGCTGAAGTGATATTTTTTCAGAGTTTTCTGGATTAAAGAAAAACAAAAATTAAAGATTAGTACTTTCTCTTTCATTTAAAAAAGTTCAATCTTCTCAAAAAAATTTAGCAAATTTGTAAAAGGCACTAGGCAAAACACAGCTTAAATAAAAATCACAGAATCTTTCTCAAGCTTTAGTTCACTTATAATCCATTCACACTTTCACTCAACACTGCTACAGCCTTAAATTAATATAAGGAGTTTGGGTGGATATTTTTCATTACTGCATGTGGAAATGATATTTGATCAACATGAAGACTGTCAAATATACAGTGAGGACTCTTTTGTTTACCTCATTGAGCAGAGGCACTCTTGGCTTCTACTTCCTACTCTGCCTTATACCCAAGTAGTAAAAGTGGAAAAGAAAAGGTATTTGATCATTTATCCACACTTTAATAAAAACATAGGTCATTGAAGACCCATTTTGCGTATTTTCCTGGGTAGTCAGAATGCTAACTGAATTGTCATAGTATTGGAATCCCTAAGTGCCATCATTTTTTCTCTAAAATTTATAATATTTAAAATAATACACTGCCCTTGGCTGTGTGGCTCAACTGGTTGGAGTGTCAGTCATCCCATACACCAAAAGGTTGCGGGTTTGATCCCTGATCAGGGCACATTGTTAGGTTACAGGTTTGATTGCTAATCTGGCATGTACAGGAGGCAACTGTTTGATGTTTCTCTCTCACCCTAATGTTTCTCTTTCTCTCTCTCTCAGAATCAATGAAAACATATTCTTGGGTGAGGATTTAACAAAATAATAATAATAATAATAATAATAAAATAAGAGTAATAATGACAATATTGTCAATTTATGTTTTCTCTTTAGAACATTAGCCCAAACAGCATTCTCTATTATGATACTATTCACTTAAATAATAAATGTGAGCACTTTAGCTTACCATACGTTTAGTACTTACCAGTTTTTTCTGGAAATACAGGTTCAATGCCAACACCATGATCTGAAGGTGCCATCACCTGAACAGGATCTCTGAGGTAGATGCCACGGTTATTTCCAACGGTTACAGTGAAACCTAATTTATTAGCAAATGATGTATTCTGAACGAGGTAGTCATAGGCTTTATCAACCTAATTATAAGAACACAAAGAGTAAGATATAAATGGTTAGGTCAAGAAAACATTTTGTTGCAAGTTACCAATTTGATTTCACTTGTGGTAAAGTACAAGCAAAAAGTTAATTTCTATATATATTCAGCTCTCTAAAAAATTAAGAGAACAAGGATACCTTCATAGACAAATACCTTCATAGACAGTCTAACTACTGGACTCACCTACCCTACTTTCTTCATTCACATTACTATTCCCAACTGACCAAAGTGAGGAACTCTCCCATATGCCAGTATAATTTAACAGTTTTTGCCCTTTATCTGTTTGCTTTGAATTTCTACCTTCTATATGTTCTATATGTATTATATTTCTCTATCTTACTACAACAAATTTTGTCTTAACTAAAAAATTTGTTTTAATATCCTCTTTGCTTACAGTTCAGAGACCACTATGATGATAAAATCTAGAATTAGATATACTCAATCATCCTTATAACAGGAAATACTATCTAACAAAGCTAAAATATTTTCTCAATGACTTACAACACAGTTTCCATATAAACAACAATACCTGAATAATACCATGTCCTTGGGCAAATACTTCTATATTGTCAGCCTTCACTGCAGTGTTTTCTAGAGCTCTTCTAACTGAATGAACTGTGTAGTTAACATTATTAGCTTTCAGACCTAAAATTTAAAAAGAAAAAAGTGTTAGAGAACTCACTACTTTGAAACCTTTCCCCCTTCACCAGTACAGATAACATGTGCATTCCCTGGTTTTCATGTCTTGTGCTTCAACACTCACTTTTAAATCTTAAAAAAACAAAAACAAAAAACCCACTAAACAATCTAAACAAAACTGCTGGCATCACACAAATACTTACATAAGAAAAATGACTGTGTTTCCATTATGCAAGGGCATGAAAACAGGCTATGCAGAGATAATGTAAATGTAAGAAGCATATACCTAAAGGCATTCCAATGACATTTGCTTTAAAACACTGTTGGTCAAACAATACAGGGTTGAGCAAAAGTAGGCTTACAGTTGTGAGTATACAAAACAGTTTATTCTCGTATTAGTATTTACTGATCATTCTATTATCTTCCATATGAACAACTGTAAACCTACTTTGGCTCCTACTGTATAGCTGCTGGCAGTAGTTTTCAACCTGACTGCATGTAATAAAAACACCAGGAGAACTTAAACAAGCAGAAAAAATGCTGAGGCCTCACCACAGACCAATTAAAGTAGCATCTTTGAGACTAGATCCCAGGCACAAATATGAACTAAAAACTTCCAGGGTAATGCTAGGGAGCACCCAGGCTGGGAATGACTGTTCTTCAGGAAGGATATGGAGGTCACCAATCTGTAAACCCCGCATTAATGCCTGCTGTTAAGGATCAAAGATAAGTAATATAGTATTCCTGCCCTCTCCAGAGCTCAATAAATGTGTAAATTCTTATGATATTGTAAGAAATGAGCAAAACAAACATGGAAACATCATGTTGCTGTAAGAGCAAATAAGATGAAGCTCTATCAGAGGGACAAATACATGCACAGGAGTTTCCAAGTCTAAAAAAATGGGAGAAAGGAATTCTAGACAGAGAGCAGTATGACCAAAGGCAGGAAGCATGCGCAAAACTTGAAATATTTGGAGAGGTTGAACAGGACTAGTCATAAGGGGAGTCCTGGAAATTATATCAGAGGGACACTTCTGAGGTGGAACTGTCACCACAGTCTGGGTACCCTAACTTTGAGTGCTAGTCAATGTCATTGCCACCCTATTTCATGATATAAGCCTCCTGCACAGCACACTAGAAATTCCTACGTCCCTTTCCACTTCACTTTGCTCCAGAGAAATATTCATTACCTTCCAATAACGAATACAGACTATTACTTTTTTTAAAAATAATTTTAAAAAAATAGATTCGAGAGAGAGGAAGTGGGGCAGTGGAGGGGGGTGTGGAAAGAAACATTGACTGGTTGCCTCCTGCATGTCTTTCTGAACTTGCAACCTGGGTATGTGCCATAATTGGGAATCAAACATGCCACCTCTTGGTGTATGGGACGAGGCTCCTACCAACCGAGCCACACCAGCCTGGGCGATAACTATTTAGTATTTTTTTTCATAGGCTGTCTCCTCCAACCATAATATGAACTCCACATGGACAGACATTTTTGATGTTTTGTTCACTAATTTAGCCCCTGAGCTAAATGAATGCTTGATAGTCATTAATAGCCAATAAATAAATCTATTTGTTGAATGGATAATGAATACACAGTCAAATCATTATCATCACATAAATTATTCTCACCTTAAACTTAGTTTGAGTCCCAGAACATTATCAATTCTATCACATTTTCTCACCATAAGAATTTCAGAAAATGAAAACAACTGTCTGCAATAAGGTAAGATAAACTTATTCAATAATCCTCTATAATAAAGAGCTAATATGCTAATTAGACTGGACAGCGAAATGACCTTCCGGAAGGACCAGTGGGTGAGGGGCAGGGCGGAGAGGCAGCTGGAGAGGCAGTGGGGGGCACGAGGGCTGAGCCACTTGCAGGAATTTTGTGCATCAGGCCTCTAGTTTTTTATGTCTATTACCTAAATATTATGCTATAAACATAAAATTGTCTAGATACTTAATACCTACTGACCTAATCTTATAAATAAACAATACATTTCAGCAGCAGGACTAAGGTAAATTATAAAATAATACATTTAAAATCCATTTTATATGCCATGTCTATCTCGTTAAGAAAAGTAATTAGCCCTGGCCATTGTGAACCAGTTGTTAGTGCATAGGACCGCACACTGAAGGGTCTTAGGTTGGATTCCCAGTCAAGGACAGGTACCTGGGTTGCAAGTTCTATCCTGCATGAAAGAGGCAACCAAGACTCTCTCACGTCGATGTCTCTTTCTCTCCCTCCCTCCCCTCCTTTCACTCTCTAAAAATCAAGGGGAAAAATATCCCTGGGTGAGAATTACAAAAAAAGGAAGGAAGAAAGGAAGGACAGAAGGAAGGAAGGAAGGGAGGAAGGGAGGGAGGGAGAGAGGAAATTAAGCTGTTTGAAATATATGTACAATAGCTAAACATTCACCATCGCTTTATTGGAAATAGTACCACGTAGAGCAGTAAGAAATGTCCTTACCTGAAAGTATCAGGGCGATACCTCCACATGCATTGGGAGAAGACATGGATGTCCCATTCATTAGTTGAGTTCCTCTCAATGTCCAGTTAGGAACAGAAGCAATGGCTCCTCCTGGTGCACTGATACTCACTCCAAGGGCCCCATCAGCACTGAATAAAAAAAGGCCATTTTGCTTACAATGATAATAACTGGATAAATATGGGTGTTCAAGTAATTCACAGTATAATCCCATGGACTACTTGAAATCATTGGAATCAATGGAAAAAATACCCAGCACAACTATTTCCCCATTGAGCAGTTTTTCCTTTCTAAATGATCGAAATCTCTCTCTCTCTCTGTGTGTGTGTGTGTGTGTGTAACAGACTTAGGTGTAAAAGTTTATCGGGTATGTTTATGAAAAAAAATTAAATAAATTCTATAAAATAAATTTTGCCATTGCTCAGACTCCTTGATGAATATACTTCTCTTGTCCATGAGCTTTGCCTTTGTCTGAATTAATATAGCACTGTCCAATAGAAATATGTGGGACACATATCATTATAAATTTTCTAAAAGCTTCATTTAAAAAACGTGACAAGAATTTGAAGTTAATTTTAATGATGTACTTTTTAATTCAACATATCCAAAATATAATTTCAATATGTAACTGACAGAAAAATGTGAGTTAATTTATAATTTTTTTTGTACTGGAAAGTATTTGTAAAGTTAGCACTTACAGCACATCTTAATTCAGACTAACTTCATGGGATTAGTGGCTGACATATTGGACAACTAAAATCAACAGTGCTGCCTGGTTTAGGGCTTTGGCTCTAAATTAATGAGTTAAAGTCCGTAGAGTTCATTATCGCATTGTCCCCAAACACAAGCTCTGCCCTCTGCCCCAAGTAAAGGAAGAATAATGGCACACTACACTTCTTTCCACCTGGAAGAGTGGCCATAAATTCCCCACAGACGATGCTGTCCTCTCCTTTGTACTATTCTTCCCCAGCTGACTAAATTATTTTTATTCTTGGAAGGGATACTAGTGCAATTTGGTTTCATATTTTTACACAGAGATCTGAAAGCACGCGAATCATATCTTCCTCATGAAATGGGTTAGTGGCATCCCTTTTAATAATTATCTTAAAACAAATATTGTGAAGTAAATATCTGTTGACCTGTAGTATTATCATGTGACAAAAGTGCCTGAATAGTGTAATCTTCCATTTATGCACAGAATGACTGAAGGGTTGTTACCCAAATATACTACAGATGAGATTTAGGGTAATTTTTGCTTACTTCTTGGCATCATCTATATTGTCTACCAATGTTCACAATGAGTATTTGGTATCTTATTATTAAAGAAAATAACTTGGAAGAGTCATCAATTCTAACAGACTTACTTCCTGTATTAATTTTCCACTAATCTGTTAAAGTAGCTAATAGGAAAGCACTTAATCTGTGTTCTAAAAATGGGTTCTATAAAATGTAAATAAAAATTGTATTAAAATAAAAATTAAGAATTTCTAATATAAACCTTACATATTTCTTATGAAAACCTTATGCAAACATTATATTAAAAAGTCCTTAAAATAAAAAACTTTTATTTTCTTCTAAAATACAACATGTAATAAAATTCAAAACAATGTTTCTGTAGCTATTACTTGTTAATCTGCCTTTAAGATATATGCCATACTTGCAAACATCAAGAATACAAGTAACTTCTTTGTCTGGCAGTCTTTCCTGATGAAGAGGATTTTTAAAACAGGCCTGCAGAATATATTCATTCAGTGATCATTAGTCAATGTTTTATATTCACACCCTGTCTAATAATTAAAAACCAAGTCTTTTCAATAATATTCCAGTTTACAGTACTGTAAACATGAAACTAATTCTCTCAATTCTTAGGAAAACTGGTTTGTGAACCACTATCTGCTTAATCAGAGCTTCCCGCACAGTTCATAAACTCATTTTCTTAAAATAATTATTTAAAAGTTCTATATAAAAATAAGACTGACAAAAGCTAGTTTTAAACATACTCTAATACTTGCTGTTTATCCTGACTATAAGGTAAAACAATATTTAAAGATCAATTTTAGAAAAGAACAAGTTTAATAATTAATGCATTTATAAACTAAACATAAAAGATACAAACATTTGCTGACTTTGACTCTTATCCTATTTCTAGCCACTCTTACTCAATGATGTGTAGTTTTAGGCCAGTTAGTTGGGCTAATGAGGGCAGTCTATGACATATGTGAAAATATAGGCAAAGCTTCTTCAACCACATGCAGACCCACAGCCTGATTGCTTTCAATGACAGTTATAAAAAACTACTAAAATGAATTTTATTTTTTAAAAAAGAAATTACCTAGAGAAAGTTAGGAAGATACCTGTAACTCAGAGGATTAAATTTAGCATTATCATATTTGATCTGATCCCAACCAATTTTTCTAATCTTGTCTTCCAATAGTCCCTTTGATATGTTTTATACATTTAATAAACCCAATTACTACTTATTTCCCCCAAATCTTTGCACTAAAACCTGCTCATCTTTGGGTTCATACTATTCTTGCCATATAAAATTCCTTACTTCTATCTCAAAATCCTATCCATCTTTTTTTTTAAAATTTTTTATTTTATTAATTTCAGAGAGGAAGAGACAGAACATCAACGATGAGAAAGAATCATTGATCGACTGCCTCCTGCACACCCCCTACTGGGGATCAAGCCCGAAACTCTGGCATATGCCCTCGACCAGAATCGAACCCAGGACCCCTCAGTCCGAAGGCTGACACTCTATCCACTGAGCCAGGGTCCTATCCATCTTTTAAAGCCCACTCTAATACCATCACCTCTTTGAAGGATTCCACTCAAAAGGAAGTGATACTCCCACCTATATAATGTCCTAAAATGAAATTGTGAACGTAGATGACAACCTATTCATTTATTACTGAAGGCAGTTAAGATATTTGCTGAATTAAATTCAAAGTTGATTCTCTTTTTAAAAAAAATAATTCCAAATAGGTAAAGAGATTAATTAAAATAGGCTTTATTTTCCAGAAGGTACTTGTACCTGATGTCATAATGAGGGATTATATAAATGTGGGCTTACTATACCTCTTGAGAAAGATAATCAGTTCCTGGAATCAGAGAAATATACTTCACAGAGGGGCTTCAAGAAACCAAAATAGATGAATTCATTTATCAAACAGAACTTGCCTACTATGGATTGAACCCAAAATTGCTCAATACATTATAACTTCAAACACATAAACACAGGGACTGCAGGCCTATAAGTGACCAAACAAAAGCTTGGTCCTTTGTTTCACCTAAGCTAAACATCAAAAGTACTGCAAAAAAGGCCTTCACTACTTTCGAAAGATAATCTAGCCCTTACTTTGCGCTCAGATCCTCATAAATGAAGGATTTGGGGAACAGGCCTAAGAATTTACACTCAGAATACAACTAACAATGAAATGGCTGCATTTTACTTCTTTAATTATCAGTTTCCTTGAGATAAATACTCAATCAAAATGAAAATGCTGAAAAGTAAAAACTATTAGAAAGAATCAGTAAAATTACCAAAACTCTGCCTCACCTACCATGTAAAATTTAGCCAAATATTTATAATAGTCTACCTGTACCACCTCCACCTACCTGGGCCCTCTAGAAGACCACGTATATTGATTGGCAGGTAATTTCTCTCTCAGAGAATATTCAGCAACCATCATATCAGGTGAAACATAAGCACCAACACCTGTGGGATTAGATTTCATAATTAACAAAAGGACACAAAATATGCATGTTAACTCTAATCCACTAGTCACTCGGCTACGTGACCTTGGGTAAATTGTTTGATGTCCCTACACCACAGCTGTCATAAAATGAAAAGATAAAAAAACTTAACCAAGGAAAATTTACTATGTACCAAACATTATACTATGTGACTTGTTTTTGAGTATAAAAATATCCATTAAGATTATTATGTGGATTACAAATAATGTACCTGAAAGTGTATTTAGATGTAAAAGAAGAAGAAATGTGTTTTAAACGATAAAATATAACATTAGAGGAATAAAGGAGTTAGTTGACTGGCATTTTTGAATGAATGACCATTCTATTGAAAACGCCATGGATAATATTGGCAGTATCCCTCTGCTCAAAAGTGGCTATAATAATGGGCAAAACAACAAAGACAGAACATGCCAGTCTTGTAGATACATATGAAAATGAAGCCTCTCCATACTCTGAAACACAATATAGAGATCAAACTTGGTTCTTTCATTTCAGAAATTAGGGAAACATGACCTACAGAAATTCAAAAAAATATACAAAATACACATTAATGACTGGCAGAGAAAAGATTTAGAAACTACGTATACCAGCATCTACTAGTAATTCCTCTTTACAACATATACACATTCAGAGTAGAAGACTAGATAAAACATGTGTGAGTTAAGAGGATTTAGGTTAACAATGCTACCACATAAAACTGCAATTATTTTATAAAATTAAAAATTTTCAGTGAATATGGGGATAAGAAAACAAAAACACACTGAGTATTAGAGCAGAGCAATAAACTTGATCTTTATGTACCTCTTTCAGATCTATTTTTGGTTTCATTTTCATACTAGAGTCCCGGTACACAAAAATTTGTGCACTCGGGGGGTCCCTCAGCCTGGCCTGTGCCCTCTCGCAGTCTGGGACCCTTTGGGGAATGTCCGCCTGCTGGCTCAGACCCACTCCCCAGGGGATTGGGCCTAAGCTGGCAGTCAGACATCACTCTGGCAGCCTGGGAGCCCTTGAGGGATGTCCACTTGCTAGCGGGGAGCAGGCCGAAGCTGCAGTCGGACATCCTTAGCGCTGCTGAGGAGGCGGGAGAGGCTCCCCCCAATGGTGGCTACATGTGTCTGCACCTCTGAAGCTGCATGTGGCCGTGCAATTGAGTTCTCACCAATGGAATAGGAGTGGAAGTGACTGGTTACCCTTGAAGGCCTGGGCCATACATACTGTATGTGTACTCTTTTCCTTTTCCCCAAGAGGAATACAAAGGTTCATCTTCAGGAAAGGATCCCGAGTTTTTACTATATAGAAGAGGAGTGGACTGTGGGGGAGCAGAGAAATCGGGTGGAAGGAACCTGAAGCCCTGAATGGCTGCCTGGAGCCAAGCAGCCTATCCACCCTGAATCCTTATATGAAAGAAATAAACTTCTTGGACTTTTAATCTACGCAACGTTGGGTCTATTTATTATACTAGCCAAGTCTTTTATCTAGAGTGACCACTCCTTGAGAGCAATGAGTTAGCTGAAAATTTACAATACCTTTGAACAAACTTATGGTAAGATCGTAGCCACAATCTGAGAGGCAACTCAAAGGACGGGCATTAGAAGAGTATTAGCACAAGTATTCTTTACATGCCCTTTCACATGTAGACACATGTGAAAATGAGCCTTTATACTATACTATTTTCAACTCATCTACTGTAACATAAGGTTCTTCTGTCCTTGAGGGTGCAGTGTCTAATGAAAGGAAAAGCATCAAACCCTCTTAAATCCTTTAAATTCCTTCAAGGTTTTAAAAGTCTTTATTTCAGGCAAAATGTGAACTTGAAAAAGAACAACTAAATCTATTTTTAGGAGCAATTTAATCTAGTCCTTGGAGTTAAAGGCTTTATGGTAGAGGATACATGTCTGTATACAGTTCAGTGGATATTGGTTAAGTCCCTATATCATAAACATAGTGCTACTGCAGAATGGGACACAGAGATGAAGCACAGAGTCATAAATCATGCCTTTTGGAGGCTCACAATCTAATGAGGAGGGGCCTCTATCTTATCCTATATAATAAAAGGGTAATATGCAAATTGATCCTAACAGCAGAACAACCAGAATGATCGCTTGATCAGTCACTATGAGGTGCACTGACCACCTCTTGGTTTCTTTCCCTGGCCAGCAGGCTCTGATTGCCCAATGGCCAATGGGAAACTGGGGGTTGTGGTGGTGGGGCTGGCTGCAGGCAGCCAGGGAAAATAACCCTGATCACAGGCCAGGCCTAGGGACCATATCCGCGCACGAATATCATGCACCAAGCCTCTATTCTATATAATAAAAGCTTAAGTGACTATTATGGCACAATGACCAGAACGACCGATCACTATGATGTGCACTGACCACCAGGAGGCAGACGCTCAACGCAGGAGCTTCCCCCAAGTAGCCAGGGCGCTCCCACGGGGGGAGCACCACTCAGTCCGAAGCCGGGCTCACGGCTGGTGAGTGCAGCAGCGGTGGTGGGAGCCTCTTCCGCCTCCGCGGCAGTGCTAAGGAGCAGCAAGCCAAGCGGTAAGGTGCCTGCTGCTAAGGAGTAGTGAACCGAGTGGTAAGGAGCAAGCAGGCTTGCGGTAAGGAGCGAAGGATCCTGGATGGCGAGAGGGATGTCCGACTGCCAGTTTAGGCCCAATTCACATCCCCTGAGCAGTCCTGTACTGCGAGAGGGTGCAGGCTGGGCTGAGGGACACTCCGCACCCCCTCCCCCCCCATCCCAGTGCATGAATTTCATGCACCGGGCCCCTAGTATCTATATAATTGAAATACACAATGTATGTATCACTGGTAGGCCCTGTTGCCTTAACACATGATTTAACAAAATACTTAAACAAGAGGTTTTAAATTACATAAAGTAAAATATACCTTAAACTGTAGAAGCTATAAATAAAAGTAAGTCTTATATTTATATTTATCTTATATTTATAAGATCACTTATTTTAAGACAAAAATCTTTTTAAAAGGAGCAATTTTGAAGCTCTGATACCCAAATATTATATATACATCTTTAGAATCTACATACTAGTAACACCTATAATATGCACGTATCTATGCAATTACTGATATATACTTCAGAAAAAGTATTTGGGACCCAATAGTTTTTATAGTCATGTATACAATCACAAATGTCAAAAAGCAAAAGCCTTATTTTGATCTCAAATAAAAATAAATAAATTTTAGGCATCATTTCTTTCAATTCATCCTTCTTATTCACACTGAATATTTAAAAAGAACAGGGTGTGGGTTTTATATTTTGTGGGTTTTCCTGCATAAGTTAGCAGCTAGTACTATAATGCAAGCTGTCTTATTTTCATACTATGGCTGTAACTAATTTTGATTTCCCATAGCTCTTATAGATAGGCATTTTTTTCCCATTAGAGTACAATGAAAAAGACAACACTGCAGCATATCTAAAGATCAAAGAATGGAAAAAAAGCCACATTCATGGAACAAATGTGTTGCAACTGTGCTTCTCATTAATAGAGCTTTCTTCTTCAACATCTGGTTCTTTCTGCATGTTCTAAGAGAAATGAAAGGAGAAAACTATACTATGAACTAAGTAGTCATACACTACAAATAAAAAGTAAAGGAAGTGGCTCTGGCAGCGTGGCTTAGTAGTTGAGTTTCAACATATGAACCAGGAGGTCATGGTTCAATTCCTGGTCAGGCCATATGCCTGCGCTGTGGGCTCGAGCCCCAGTGTGGGGAGTGTATGAGGCAAACAATCAATGATTTTCTCTCATTATTGAAGTTTCTCTCCCCCTCTCATGTCCCCTCTGAAATCAATAAAAATATATTGGGGAAAAAAAAAGTAAAGAAAGTGTCTTTACATTGTTCACGTAGTCTGGAAAGCCCTTTCCTTGATCATTTCTACTGATGGAAATCCTTAATCCCCCATTCTTACCTAAATTCTCAAATCAGAAGTAGCCACTTTTGTAATCCCACAGCACTTTATCTGTACCTTCATTCAACCACTTACTCCAGTCTACTTCAGAGTCAATTCCAGATCAGCAGACCTCTAACTAGATTTCCGTTTCCTGAGGTTGTATTTAAGGTTTATGGTGTCTTGCATAGAAGAGATCCAATTAATATTGGATTAACTGAGGTGTTTTTTGTTTGCTGATTTTTTAAACAAGTCCATTTCTAAAATAGGAAACTCACCTATTACACTTGATGTAGTTCCACCAGGACAACCAACTGTAGAAAGGCATGGACCATTGTTTCCAGCACTGGAAATATAAATTATATTATGCTTCCACACTGCTTCATTAATGACTTCACAAATTCTCCTGAAAGAGAGAGAGAATTCCTTTAAACGTAAAAAATTGTCCCACTTTTCAAAATCTGTATTACATGAAAATAACTGCAAATATGGTTTATATATTTAAAAAAAGACTAAAATATGGATTCAAGTAACAGAACTAAAACAATGGCTATATATAAGGAAATGTGCATTAGAATCGCTCAGATTGGGACATTTTTTATTTTTTTCTTTATTGATTATTAAAGTATTACATGTCTCCTATTTCCCCCATTGGCCTCACCCCAGCCACTCCCCCTCCCATGCCCCTCAATACATTCCCTCACCTCCCCCTACTGTCTGTGTCCATTGGTTATGCTTATATGCATGCATAAAAGTCCTTTTGTTGATCTCTACCATGCCCACCCCTTGATGCTTCCCTATCTCTGGATCTATTTTTGTTCATCAGTTTATGTAGTTCATTATTTTCCACAAATGAGTGAGTTCATGTGATATTTATCTTTCTCCAACTGGCTTATTTCGCTCAGCATAATGCTCTCCAGTGCCATCCATGCTGTTGCAAGTGGTAAAAGTACCTTCTTTTTTACAGCAACATAGTATTCCACTGTGTAGATGTACCACTGTTTTTTAATCCACTCATCTGCTGATGGGCACTTAGGCTGTTTCCAAATCTTAGCTATTATAAACTGTGCTACTATGAAAATAGAGGTGCATATATCTTTACTGACTGTATTTCTGATTTCTTGGGATATATTCCTAGAAGTGGGATTACTGAGTCAGATGGGGGTTCCATTTTTAATTTTTTGAGGAAACTCCAGTGTTCTCCACAGAGGCAGCACCAGTCTGCATTCCCACCAGCAGTGCACGAGGGCTCCTTTTCCTCCACATCCTCGCCAGCAGTTGTCGTTTGTTGCTTTGTTAATGATAGCCATTCTGACAGGTGTGAGGTGGTACCGCATTGTCGTTTTGATTTGCATCTCTCGGATGATTACTTTGAGCATATTTTCATATGTCTCTTGGCCTTCTGTACATCCTCTTTCGAAAAGTGTCTATTTGGGTCCATTGCTCATTATTTTATTGGACTGTTTATCTTCCTTTTGTTAAGTTGTATGAGTTCCCTATAAATTTTGGAGATTAAACCCTTACTGGAAATAACACTGCAAATATGTTCTCCCATGCAGTGGGCTTTATTGTTTTGTTGATGGTTTCTTTTGCTATGCTGAAGCTTTTTATTTTGATGTAGTCCATTTATTTATTTTCTCCTTAGTTTCCATTGCCCTAGGAACAGTATCAGTAAGGATACTGCTATGACATATGTCTGATATTTTGCTGCCTGCGGATTCCGCTATGATTTTATGGTTTCCCATCTTACGTTTAAGTCCTTTATTCATTTTGGGTTTAGTTTTGATTGCTGTGGCTATTCGGGGTCTGTTTTTTTATTCCATATGAATTTTAGGAGAGTTTATCTGTGAAATATGCCGTTGGTATTTTAATGGGGAATGCACTGAATCTATAGATTACTTTGGGTAGTATGGACATATTAATGATGTTGATTCTACCAATCCATGAACACGGTATATTATTCCATTTATTTATGTCTTCCACTATGTCTTTTTTCAATGTCGTCTAGTTTTCCAAGTAGAGGTCTTTTACCTCCTTACTTAATTTATTCCTAGATATCTTAATTTTCTTGGTGCAATGGTAAATGGGATTGTTTTTCTTTCTGTAAGTTCACTATTGTTGTATAAAAATGACATAGATTTCTGGGTATTAATTTTGTATCCTGCTATATTGCCAAATTCAGTTATTAAGTATAATAATTTTTTGATGGAGTCTTTAGGGTTTTCTATGTATAGTATCATGTCATTTGCAAATATTAAGTTTTACTTCTTTTCCAATTTGGATGCCTTTTATTTCTTCTTCTTGTCTAATCACTATGGCTAGCACTTCCAGTACTATGTTAAACAGGAGTGGTGAAAGAGGGCATCTGTCTTGTTCCTGTTCTTAGGTGAAATGGAGATCGGGACATTCTTTTTTTTTTTTTTAAATATATTTTATTGATTTTTTACAGAGTGGAAGGGAGAGAGATAGAGAGCTAGAAACATCAATGAGAGAGAAACATCGACCAGCTGCCTCCCGCACATCTCCCACTGGGGATGTGCCCGCAACCCAGGTACATGCCCCTGGCCGGAATCAAACCTGGGACCTTTCAGTCCACAGGCCGACGCTCTATCCACTGAGCCAAACTGGTCTCGGCGAGATTGGGACATTCTTAAACAATGAATGCTTAGCCTCTATTCCAAAAGTATATATAATAGCAAAATATTGTTCAAATGAGTGGTTAAGTAACTTTTGGTGCCACCATTGGTGGAACATGTACAGCCAATCCAGGTAATGCACCCTAGTTAGATTTTAGAGTTGGGAAGCAGTTATGAGGCCAGGTTAAATGTGGAGAAATGCTAGATACAAAATTGAATACATATGGGGAAAACTACAAAAGGATACTGAATGATTAGCTGTGACTGAGTAGTAAGGCAACTGGTGCTTTCAGTCCCATTCCACTTAAAGTAACATATTCAGAAACAACTCTTGGGGAATTCCTAGATATATTTGTAATTAGTAACAAAAGTGAAGGGGAAATAAAGCACTAGGGAGAACTTAAGAGAATGATTTAAAATATAAGAAATCTGGTTAGAGCTTGATAGCAAACAAGAAAAATGTACTGGTATTAATTAAAAGAGATGAACTTAGACCATGAAGAAAATGGAGTCAATATAACAAAGGTATAGGGCTAAGGACACTCCAAAGTACAAAAGAAGGGTATCAGGGGAAATGACTTTAAATGGACGAATATCATAGGAGAGAAAGAAATACACGTAGGTAAATAAGATACTGAAACAAAAAGAAGGGACAAGATTGCATTCACAAATAAAATATCTGAGGATGACAGGGTGCTTGTTAAAAGGACAAGAAAAGGATGTGTCCTAGAAACTTAGTAGTACTAGTTTTCTGGAAACAGTATGTTATTTGAAAACAGCAAACTACAAGGTCTGGGCTTGGTAAAATTTGGACTTTGGCAGTATTTTATTAAAGAACCTCAGACACTGAATGATAGGTATATATGAATGGCCTGGTGGGAGGGAGAAAATGATCAGTATGATAATACTCTAAGTAAGGTAATGTCAAAGTTACTATTATGAATAAAAAAGGTAAGGTAGCATGAGGTCAAGACTAAACCACTAGATTTGGCAGCAGGAAGATACTGATGACACAGGGAGGAAGGGTCGGGAAAAGACTTAGAATGTGAACATAGACACTAAGTCTTCCTGGAAAAGTGAATGAAAGCAGTATGAAATGAAGAGGTTTTGTGTCTGTTTTAAGGCTGGCGACTCTAGAGCATATCTGTATAATAATGCAATAAAGGAGAGAAGAAATGAGATACAGATCTCAGAGGCTTGAGTGACTTGATGCTGGCACTTCTTTCATTACACAACAGGGAAGGCAGAGAAGGTGGGGTTAGAGGAGGTCACAGGAAGGGCACAAAGTCCCCTGCTTAGTGCTTTTGTTCTCTCTGGGAAAAGAAGCAGGGAGAACTTTACTCAGGAAAGAGAGGGAAGGTCACTGAAGGTCTTTAAGAGGTGTAAAATGGTCATACAGGAGGGAAAGGGTAAATGCAACGTGATCAGACAATGCTGTATGAACAATCTCATATCTGTGGTCTTAAACCTGAAGTGGGTTGGCGGTGTCTTTCTCCTGAAAAATCTGGCAGTGCAGGTATGGGATCACTGAAGGGAATGCCAGGGTTTCCACAATATGGAGTTTGGTCAGGTAATTACACCTGGAAGAGTTGAGGCTGATTATGGATAAGGAATTCTAGTGACAGATGGGATGTGGGATATCCCTGAGTAGGGGAAATAAGGATATCAAGAATATGACCATGGAAGGAGGGCCAGATCTAGGAAACATAGTGGCTGCTTTTTTCAATTATAATTTTCAACCCAGTTATGAAAAGCATTTCATACTCTTATTCTGCAAAGTATCTATAGGTAACAGGAGACAAAGAACACTCACCCAGAATTTGGCCAGTGAGTTGCTTCTCCATAGCTGTAGTTGACAAGATCACACTTATGGTTTATAACTTCTATCATCTATTAAAAAGATGAATAATCTAATTTAGGAAGCAATGTACAGAAACAGACATGCCAGTAAAATAAAGGCATAGAATCCCAGTTTCTTAATCATATTCTAACTTAAATCCAAATATATGTTACTTCTAAGCAAATGGTTAATAAACTTTTTAAAAGGTAGGGGGAGACAGCATATAGTAAATATCTATAAAAACCAAAACTAGAGACCTGGCCAGTGAGGCTCAATTGGTACATAGTCGCATACATCAAAAGTTTGTGGGTTCAATTCCTGGTCAG